GTCAGGTTATAACCATGAGTGTGGAAGACCACATAAAATCTGGGTGGAACCTGTAAAGCTGCAGAGAGTTTGTTATGCCTTATTATTGCTGATGGAGGTTTAAAAGAGGATTCCCTAGATGTTTTATTGCAAAGAATTGACATTCCTGCACTGATATTAAGAAGAGTCTCAGCCATTGTGTGTATTTAATTTTTTATTTTTTTTTTTGACATAAGCTTGGAAACACTCAGATAATCTGTAACATTTCAGTATTCCTGAAACACAACACTTAATGTCATTAAAGGTCATAGTCTTTAGAAAGCCATACCAAGGAGCTGCTCTTGCTACTGGTACTAGTTGTGGTTTAAAAAGGCTCTACAGATTTCATATTCAGGAGTCATTGAGCATTTGTGACAAATTAAAAAAAACCCACATTTCAGGATAGTCTTCTACATTTACAAACTCACACACACAGATTTTGTATTTTTTTAATAAACCAGAAAAGTAGGCAGTGTGTGCAAGAGTCAAGATTAATATTCCGTACAGTAGTTATGTTGCCTAATAAATGCAATAATCTGTTAACGGCACTATGGGTTTATTTTTAAAGATCTTAATCAAATGAATGTAAGATTACTAGTTGCATTTGTCATATTATCATAAGCTGTTAAAGTTCTTCACTCTCATAGAGTCCAGATTGAGCTGCTAGGCGCTGAAATTCCCCTTCTGGGTTAAAAGCTTGTTTCACATCCAGACCTTTTCCATTCAGTGCTAAGTATTTGCTGAAAGTTGGTCGAACCCGTAACTGCTTAGGATTTGGAAGAGTTTGGGTTGGACGAGCTGGAATAGACCAGATAAAAACCAAGTCAAGAAATCTGTTCTATAGGAGATGTTTAAAATGGAAATTGTTTTGAATGATGTCATAAAGTAGAAAAAAATAATGTGTATAAGAGAAAATGCCTCCAAATTGCATAAACTTTTGGGATTTGTGTTATATATTAAGTTTTCCTAGTGTGGGGCAAAACTTGTTGTCAGTCACATATACACAAAGCTAGAAATGTGTCTAGGAAGTTAGACAATGACCTTGTCTCTTGAGCTTAATAGTTGTTTCTAGGTTTTCTTTGTATCCCTCCACTGTAAGCCCTGGTCATAAAGTTTTTTTACATGTGTGTTGTCATGCTTGGCCCTATATATGTCTCTTCTTTCTGCTGATGGTAATATGTATGTTTTTGTGGAAGAGTTGGCCTCAGATTTATGGAAGAAATATTGTGTTGTTGGTTTTCTTACTATATTTTTTCATTAACTGGCATTGATTTGAATACATTGTGTCTTTTGACTGACTAATAAAGGTAAACACATTAGTAGGGGCCCATAAGCTATGATTTTGAGTGGATATGGCCCAATAGAGCACCTTGAACCAGAGTGGCCTTGCTTGTGAGATCCGTTGTGTGAATTGGGGTGTTCCCAAGTGCCATATTTGTTCTATCTGTAATAGCAGCTTTGGTTAACATGATATACCTGCAACATCCAATCTAGTATTGCATGTGACCACTCCTGCTTCATTTACTGCAGACACAGTATACCATCCAGCATCTTTTTTGTTTGCATCTTTAATCAGTAGAGTAATTCTTCCAGAGTTATCATAGTACAAGCTGAAAAGAGACATGCAAAAAATGGAAATATCAGAAACCAAGTTTTCTGAGGAGTCCTTAAATGAAAATTCTGTTAGAATAAGAATAAGCAAAATAATCAAGAAGAAAGATTAAAAAAAAGATCAGCTACTCAAGTGCTGGAAGAAGGTGACCCAATTTAACAATAATTCATGGAAAAAAAGAGATTTTTATTTGACCAGCAGGTCAAACCAAACCAATAGAATAATATGGTTGCAAAAAACCAAAACAAAACAACCCAACAAACAACCCTCAAGCTTATGTTGCATTAATGGAGTTATATTGATAATCCCACTGTAATCTAGCCTGATCATGCCCCATCTAGAGTAACTGGGTTCAGTTCTGATGCCACTTTTTAAGGGAGATTTAACTAAGAGGAGGGTGACCAAGATACTGAGGGGACTTGGAAACCGTGTGATATGAAGAATATTTGAAGGAACTATAGAAGAGAAGATGGAAAGAACATAATTACAGTTTTCAAATAGTTCAAATGTCATATGGAAGAGAGAATAGACTCCACTTTCTATGCCTTTAGAAAGCAGAGCTAAAACCAATGGGCAAAAGTTATAGGGATGGCAGATTCTGGCTCAGTATAAGGAAGAGCTTTCTAACATTTGGAATTGTCCAACAATAGGATGGGCTTTCTTTTGATATCGTGGCCTCTTTGTCATCAAAAATATTCAGACTTAAGGTTACATGGTGTTGGGGATGATGTAGAAAGGATTTCTGCAGTGAGTGGGAGGTTGGACTAAATGATTTCTAAGGCCTCTTCTAACGCTAAGATTTTAGGAAATGTATGCACTTAATAATTCAGAAACTTTCTATCCAACACCAAACAACTGCTTATTTTCTCAAGATTAAACATCTCTTATTCTCCCCCCACCCCACACCCAGTGTTTCCAATTTTTATTTGGTCAGCAAATTCTTTATAAATAGGGCAAAGGTAAATTTTGTCTCTGAGTCATCATGAGTTCCTTATTAGAGAGGTCTGGAGTAATAAAGTTTTACCAAAGTTTCTATATATTTTTCATGAGATTAAACAATGGAATTACAGGATAATAACTCTTAAGCCTAGAAGAATCTTAAAGATTGGCTAGTTTATCTAGTACATTTTACAGATAAGGAAACTAAGGTTCAGAGAAGTAAAGTAATTGTCTAAGATGGTAAGGAGAATAAATTGGAGAGCAGGTCCTTTGATTACAAATCAAATGTTCTTTCCATTCTATATATACTCTATTAAGAAGAGATCTTGATTTTGAAGAAAAAAAAAAAAGAAACTATAGTTCTAGAAATATTTGCAGTACCTTATCCTGTCTGTGTTGAATTGCACCATTTCATTATTTCTTTTCCAGAAAATCTTTGGTGGAGGTATAGCAGAAACTTGGCATTCTAATTTTACTGAGTCCCCTTCATAAACTTTTTTGCTCTGTGGTTTGTAGATAAATATTGGTGCTCTCTTATGCTCCTTTGCTATAATTTAAGAAAAAAAATTCAAGTATTAAAGAAGTATTGCAAAGAAAATTCATTAATCAAACCAAGTAATATTGACAAAGCCTCTTCTTTAATTAAAAGTATACAAACTTACAATTAAAAACTTACCCCCCAAAGTGTTAAAAACAGTTATGGATAAGAGACTAATATAAGAGCATCTATGAACACCTTATCACATCTCATTCTAAGGCAATGGAGTAATAGCCTTATCATTATAAAAATGTTTGATAGCCTCTTTGTAAATTCTCCTATTTAAAGGAACAAATGTGTGAATATTAAAGAGAAGCAGATTTCTGTTTGATACAAGGAAAAACTTCCTAATAATTACAGCTGTCCAAAAGTAGAATAGGCTTCATTGAACGGTATTGAGTTCTCAATGAAGGACTTCATACAAAGGCTTGAGGACCATTGGTCAGGGACATTATACAGGAGATTTCTGTTCAGGTAGACCAGATGAGATGAATATTCAGATATTCTAAATAACAGTAATGATAATCTTTGAATTTTTTTAGGTATCTTTCATATAAAGTCTTCAGTCATGTTCCCTTTATTTGCATTAATAGCATATTTGGGAGGAAGTAATAGTGGGGAATATAATTCATTTTTCAGTTGGGAAAACAGGCAAAGAGTTACAGTATATAATAGCTTTGCTCAAAATTATAGTATATAATATAGTTGTCGTCTCATTCCTAGCTTTACACACACACACACACACACACACACACACACACACACACTATATTACTGCCCTTTCCCTCCCCTATGGAGCCTTCCCTCATAACAGAGAAAAATAAGTAAAAACTGATAGAATGATTGAGTCTGACATGATATGTAACATTCCACATACATGGTCCCTTACTTTTCTGTTGGGAGGAGTGAAGTATGTTTTATCATCTGCTTTCTGGGATCAGACCGTACACTGTATTTAATCTGAGGCCAGTGGCCTTTTGGTGTTTTTGTCTACATGGTTTAGTTGTGTATCTTGTCCTTATTTTGCTTTCTCTGTTCTACATCAATTCATATATCTCTCCATGTTTCTCTGAATTCCCAACTTTTTCAACAAGCTACTCCAGAAATTATCAATCTATCTTGAGCTTACTATTATTATGATCTCTTTGGTACCCCAAAAAGATTAAAGAAAAAGTAAAAGGATCTATAAATATAAAAATATTTGTAATAGTTCTTTTTGATATAGTAATGTATTGGAAGTTAAGAAAATGTCCATCAGTTGGGGAATGGCTAAACAAATTATAGTATATAATAAATATAATGAAGTATTATTGCAATGAAAGAAATGACAAAATGGTGGTTTCAGAGAAACCTGGAAAGACTTGTATGAACTGGTAGAGAATGAAGTGAGCAGATCCAGAAGGTCAGTTTATAAAAAAAAATAGCTTTAAAAGACTTAAGAATTCTGATCAATGAACTGACCATCCACAAGTCCAGCCGACTGATGGTGAAATATGCTACCTGCCCACTGACAGATGTGATGGACTCAAGTTGGAGAATAAGACTTATATTTTTGGACATGGCCAATGTAAAAATTTGTTTTGCTTGGCTATGCAGATTTGTTTTTTTTTAATTAAGTTTTAGTTTTTTCATTTATCAAGCATCCATTTTATGATTCCTCCCACTTATAAAAAAAATCCCTGCAACAAATCAACTATGCATATTTGTTCCAAGGACTTTGTTTTTCTTTGTTTCTTTTTTTTAATGGGGGGTAGGGTAGAGAGGAAGAGGATGCATAGGGATGAGGTAGGGAAAAAAGAAAAGAAAAATAGCATGTTAAAAAAAATTCACAGAAGAAGACAGAAAGAAGGCCAGAAAGAACCACAGAAAAGTAGAGAATAGTAGAGATCTTCAGTTTCATTTACAATTCTCCTTTTCTGTTCTATTTATATGGAAATGTCCATTTTTTTGGTGTTTAATTTTAAAATAAAAAAAATTAAAAGGAACTTGTTATTGGTCCAGAAGGCCAAATAGTATTTTAAAACTCTATAGAACAATTTCTACCTTGATTTATAGGATTTAGAAAGGGTATCATCACTGCCCTTTCCATTAAACTTTTATGCAGATTGATAATGAATTGCAGTAAGATTTATTTAAATTCATTATGTGATGTTTATAGTTTTAAAAATAGTAAAATTGGAGAATTTAAAATATGATGGATTTATAATCAAAGACCAAAGGTGTGCCAAATACATATTTGAAAATCAAAAATACATTTTTGCATTTTTTCTAAAAGAGGTAGGAATATTTAATATTTTTAAAAAATTGTTTCCTAGTAATAAGAAAAATAGTTTAAGGCTAAAAGCTGGGGTTGATTTTCATATGTAGACTTACTGAAACAGCTCAGTTAAAGTATCAGCCTAATTGATTATTTGGCACTGGTTTGGTCAAGAAAAAATGGTTTGGGCTTGCATTTTTCCCATTTTGGGTAGTTTTGTTAGTGCTGTATAAACATAGCTTGTAATCCATATACTCTAAGTTTTATAGAGCTTAAAGATATATATGAATGTCCTTAACACTTACCAAGAACATCCAGTTGTATTGTAAAGGTGGCTTCTCCTGCTCGATTCTTAGCAACACATGCATAAGTCCCTGCATCTGAGGTTCTGACAACTTCAAAGATGAGTGAATGAAAACCTTTTTCAGATACTATCATTTTGTGAAGATCATCTGATTGAACTGGTCTTCCATTTAAATACCATGACACATCGGGAGCTGGTAATCCACTTACCTTTGGTTAAAAAACAAATGGAGACGACAGTATTTTAAGGCCTTTTATAACAGTGATACATCGTAAATTTTAAATGTCTGGCATATTTATGGATTTTTAGACAGAAGAGCAAAGATAGCTCCCCTTCCCAAGGCTTTAATAATTTCAACAAAAATGGTAGAAATTTTACATGGAAGCTAGACCCAAATGCATGGCATTTGGACCAACCTATCATTCTTTAAGACATTTGATTTCTGTATTAGAATCATATTCCAATTTTAGTCCCACGGGGCCCAGTTTTCTTGTGTCATTTTGGGTTAATGATAGTTTCAGAGGTCTCTCTGAAATCCAGTAGCAATAAATATTACTGTCTCCAAGAATAACCTCTCCAAAGCAAAGAACTTTTGAGCTATGATTCAGGTGGAATATTTGCTTTATCCCAATAGATCAAAGATGTTTGTACAAACCTCTTTTAGCGAGCCAATACATGTGTCTCTTACTTATTTTTCCAAAAAAAAAAAAAAATTTCCTCATGGCATGCAGAAGTATGGCTGGGCTGTGAGCTGCATTATTTGGGGGGGGGGGAGTCCTTGCATTAATGAGATCAGAAATATATTGGGCCAAAGAAATATTGTAGGTCAATGGGAGGACAGAGTATTAAGAGGATAAATTAAAAGTTTTAGTTAAAAAATTCTGGGTATGCCTCAAGCCACAGTGAGGTAAACCCTTATGTATCTTATTGTTAACTCCCTCCAAATGTTTTTGAACATTTTTATTACTTTAAAGTCTATTCTGCAGAATCTTCCTTCTTCTACATTTAAGTTCTCTGGCACTTGAACAAAACGTGGAGGGTAGAATTTCTCCAGGATTGATTCCTGATCATTTGTATCTCCTCTTGAAGATGATCTACTCCTATAAAACACATTTTATAATAGTTATGCATCAAAATCATTGTTTTTCTTTCACACAAATTCCAATTTATCTAACAAGTGTGGAAACTTAGAGTAGTGGATAAAGCACTAGACTCAGGAAGACCTGGGTTCGAATATTGCCTCAGATCCTGGGTAAGTCACTTAACCTCTCTGTGCCTCACTTTCCTTATTTGTGAAATAGGGAGGTTGGACTCAATGGTCTCTCTCTCTCTTTTTTTTTTTTTTGGCAGTTGGGGTTAAGTGACTTGCCCAGGGTCACATAGCTAGTAAGTGTCAAGTGTTTGGTCTGAGGCCGGATTTGAACTCAGGTCCTCCTGACTTCAGGGCCAGTGCTCTAGCCACTGTGCCACCTAGCTGCCCCCTCAATGGTCTTTAAGAGCCCTTCCAACTCTAAATATATTATCTTGCTAGAGTCTAACATTTGATCTGAAGTTGCACTAGGACAGCGCAGAAAGGTCTCAGAACCTCATGCCATTTTAGACATAGCAGGACCCTTATAACATTAGCAACTCATTGGAAAGCAGGGGGACCACTTGTTGGGAATGTGGTAAGAGGGATTCCTGCACAAGGATGTACTAGATGACCTCTGATGTCCCTTTCAACTAAAAAATTCTGTAATGTGGTTGTCTTTACCAAATCACTCATTTAGAATTGTCACATTTCACCTTGGTTCTTTTTATAATCATCTGAGCTGATAAACTGATTTTAATGTCAGTTATTGAATATTATTTATCATAATTATAACATGCAATATACTGTATGTTATTTATAGAAAGGTTTTACCGTTAATGTCCATGTTTATTAACACAGTAAATATATTTATACAAACCACTTGAAAATCTAGAAATATTTTCTGATAGTTTGTAAAAGAATATCAATTTCCACTGTCTCTAGTATTGATGTATATCAGAAAACTTAAAATGATAATTATTTTTTAAAGGAAATACATGGAGTCAGAAGACCTGGGTTTGAATTCTAGTTTGGCTACTCATTACCTGTTTGACCTTGGATAAGGCACTTCCCTTTGGGCCTTAATTTCTCAACTCCAAAATAAGAAGTACTTGATCAGGATTCTTAACCTTTTTTTGTGTCACAGAGCCCTTTGGCAGTCTGGGGAAGTTTATGAACTTCTCAGAATAATGGTTTTTACTTAATTTTAATATTCATTTTTCCAATTAAATGTCAAAACAATTTTTAATCTTTGTTTTTTGTAATTTTGAGTTCCAAATTCTCTCACCACTTTCCCTTCATTGAGAAGGCAGGTAATTTGATAAAGGTCATGCAGACATGCAAAACATATTTCCATATTAGTTGTGTTGTGAAAGAAAACACAGACAAAAACCCCCATGAAAAATAAATTAAAAAAGAAAACCAGTATGTTTTGATCTGCATTCAAATTCTTTCTCTGGAAGTGGATAGCATTTTTCATCAAAGGACTTTCAGAATTGTCTTGGATCATTGGATTGATCAGAATAGCTAGGTCTCCAACAATTGATAATCCTTACAATATTGCTGTTACTGTGTACAATGTTCTCCTGGTTCTGCTTACTTCACTTTGCACTGGTCCATGTAAGGCTTTCCAGGTTTTTCTGAAAGCATCCTGCCCATTTTTTTTATAGCACAGTAGTATTCCATCATAATCACATGCCACAGCTTGTTCAGCCATTCCCCAATTGATGGTTATCCCCTAAGTTTCCAACTCCTTGCCACCACAAAGAGAGCTGTTATAAATATCTTAGGGCAGCTAGGTGCTATCATGGATAGAGCACTGCGTTTGAAATCGGGAAGACTCATCTTCATGAGTTCAAATCTGGCCTCAGACACTTACTAGCTGTGTGACCTTGGGCAAATAACTTAATCCTATTTGCCTCAGTTTCCTCATCTGTAAAATGACCTGGAGAAGGAAATAGCAAACTATTATCTTTACCAAGAAAACCCAAATGAGGTAACAAAGAGTTAGACACAACTGAAAACTACTGAACAATAAATATTTTTGCACATATATTTTTTAATATCTCTTTTGGGATACAGTAGTAGCTAGTGTCAGTAGCTGGTGCTGTGTCAAAGTGTATGCACAGTTTGATAGCCCTTTGGGTATAGTTCCAAATTACTCTCCAGAATGATTGGATCAGTTCACAACTCCACCAAAAGTGCATTAGTGCCCAAATTCTTGCAGTCCCCTCCAACATTTGTTATTTTCTGTCATATTAACCCCAATCTGATAGGTGTGAAGGGGTAACTCAGAATTATTTTAATTTGCATTTCTCTAATGAATAGTGATTTAAAGCATTTTATATGATTATAGATAGATTTTATTTCTTTATCTGAAAACCGCCCATTATAACTTTTGACCATTTATCAATTGGAGAATGACTTGTGTTATTGTAAATTTAACTCAGTTCTCTATATATTTGAGAGATGAGGCCTTTATAAGAGAAACTTTCTGTAAAATCCCACCCCCCCAGTTTTTTGCTTTTCTTTTAATCTTGGTTGCATTGGTTTTGTTTACGCAAATATTTTTAAATTTAATGTAACCAAAATTATCCATTTTATGTCTCATAATGCTCACTATCTCCTATCTGGTAATAAATTTTCCACTTATCCATAGATCTGACAGGCAAACTATTCCATGCTCCACTAATTTGCTTATGGTATCCCCTTTTATGTCTAAATCATGTACCCATTTTGACCTTATCTTAGTATACGGTGTGAGGTGTTGGTCTATACAAAGTTTCTATCAAATTGCTTTCCAGTTTTTTCAGCAGTTTTTGTCATATAGTGAGCTCTTATCCCAAAAGTCTGGATTTTGCGTTTATCAAACACATGATTACTATGGTCATTTCTTACTGTGTATTGTATACCTAATCTATTCCACTGATCCACCATTCTATTTGTTAGCTAGTACTAGATTGTTTTGATGATTACCACTTTGTAGTACAGTTTGAGATCTGGTATAACCAAGCTACCTTCCTTCACATTTTTTTTTTCATTAGTTCACTTGATATTCTTGACCTTTTGCTCTCCCAGATGAATTGTGTCATTATTTTTTCTAGTTCTATAAAATAATTTTTTGGGGCTTGATTGGCATGGCACTGAACAAGCATATTAATTTAAGTAGAATTGCTATTTTTAATATATTGGCTTGGCCCTCCCATGAGCAATTAATATTTTTCCAGTTGTTTAGATCTGACTTTATTTGTGTGAAAAGTGTTTTGTTCATATAGTTCCTGGGTTTGTCTTAGCAGGTAGACTCCCAGGTATTTTATATTGTCTACAATTACTTTAAATGGAATTTCTTTTTGTATCTCTTGCTGCTGGACTTTGTTGGTAATATATAGAAATGCTGATGAAAGAAAAATGTTTTAAAATGCATTAAAATACACAAGATTACAAAGGAAACCAATTATATTGAAATATGGTTTTAACCATAAGAATTAAAAGACAAGGTCATGGACCCCAGGTTAAAAGACCTGGACTAAATAATTGCTATTATCTCTTCCAGGTCTAAATTTTATGATTCTAAAAATCGAAGTAGGTTGCACGTAGTAGGTTTGAGTACTTGGTTATGTTCTTTAATTTGGATGAACCAATCAAAAAATAATATGCCAAGTAGTGGAAAAATTGCTTTACATTAGGCTTTACCTCATCTGTGATGTAGGAACCTGCAATCTTGCATTTTCTGAGTTGTGCTGTTTGAGAATAAAAAAAGTGAGAATGTCAGTATTATAATACTATACTGAAAGAGCAGCAGAATGAATCATTTAGAATCTAAGGGAATGTTTTCATTTTAACTGACAGTGCTGCATTTTGTCAGGGCTTCATCAGTCAAAGTAAATTATGTACTGTTTAATTTATAGTCAACATAAATAAACTTTCAGATATTGTCCAAGTCCTTTCTGGCCCTTTCCTTGAGAAAATTCAGAGATAAATGAATACAAGTCACAGATACTGGCTGCCCATAGGAAAATAGAAGAGTTTTTAGACTGATCTTCTTTTTTATTTTGCAGCTGTCAGTTTCCTAACCAAAGAGGTGATCCCTGGGTATATTTAAAGTGGGACTAAGGTACAGAATGCCCTTTAGTAAAACAGGAATAGATATGAAGTCACTTAACTTGGCAGCAATGCTAAAAGATGGCAGCAACAGACAAATATCAGCTTGGAAAATACTTCCCTTCTTAGCTTATGGTACCAAACTTTGACATGTTCCATACACACTATGAGCAGAATTATGGAAGACCGATAAAAGAAACTTAATGGATTCCTATTTAAGAAGTGCATGTTACTTAATTTAAAAATATTAAGGTTAATTACTGTTAAGAAAGCAATCAAATAAGCACATAAAACAAAAGACAGAATCTTAGCCATTAGCCCTTAACAATGCAAAAGCAAATGAATTAACTAACAAGCGAAGAAAATGTTTTTGCTGTGTATTTCTTTTTTAGACCTGCTGAAGATTTGCCTTGTTTGCTCCTGTTTTCAGCCATTCTCTAATTATTGGACATATGGATTGTGTCCAGTTGTTGTTTTTTTTTTGTTTTGTTTTGTTTTGTTTTGGTTAAGAATAGAGCAGCTAGGAATCTTTTCATATAGCTAGGTCCTTCTTGCCTAATGATTTTTTTTGAAATCTTTAGCAAAGAAATCACTGGGTTGAAAGTCTTGCAGCTCTTATTGTTTATCATGATATTGTTTTCCAAAATGTTTGTTCCAGTTTTCTGTCATACTAATAATATATTAGGATGCCCGTTTCTCCATAACCCTGCCAACACTGAATTTTAAATTATTTTTGGTACTTTTCCCATGCTTGTGAGTATTTTAAAATTGTTTTGACATTCATTTCTATGGTTATTAGAGAAATTCATTATCTTTTTATGTGATTATTAAGGTTGTAGTTCCTTCTTTGTCAATTGTGCCTTTCATATACATGGACTCTGTTGGGTAGTGTATATTCTTAATTTTATGGATATGTTTCCATTTCCCATAGATTTTGATATATTAGCCTTTATCTGATGTGTTCATTGCAAATATTTTCCCCAATAGCTTCTTTTCCTTTAATTTTAGAGACACTGGAGAAATGCATTGGTAAAAGGAATTTCTTCACCGGGAGCCTCTCTATACCAATGAAATAAAAAATGTGGACCTAAAACAAGACAGGGAGCTAATGAAAGTAAAAAACAAACAAAAATGTGCAAATCCATTACTGTTTTAAAATCACAGTGGAAATGTATTCCAGATTGAGGAAGACAATGAAAATTTACCTGTGCTGAGTCCTGTGACTCACTGTCATTTTGAAACACTGCAGCAGCGTTCTGTGGTCCCAGCAGCCTGCGAGCCATCTTCTCCTCATACGTTAGCCTCTGCAAAGAGACCGGACATGGTGGTGACTTGTTGTATGTAGTTATGAAGTTCAGTGAATGAAGGCCATATCACTCCATCCAAAACTGCACACTAAACTACAAGTGCTTTTCAGAGGCCTCTTGGTAATCCGCAGCATAAATAGGCAGACAATAGACTCTGGTATCAGAGGATCCAGATTAGAGTCTTGCCTCTGATGCTAATTACTTGTAGGGCCCTGTGCACATTATTTAGCTTCCCTGGAACTAGGTTTTCTCATCTGCAAAATGAGGGAGATGGTCTACACGGCCTATGAATTCTCCTCAGGCTGTAAATCTATGATCCCATGCCAGCATTTTCCTTTTGCTATCTTGTTACATAGTGCTAAGTCTCCATAGGTTTATTCATAATAATGAGTTTAAGTTTCCCAGCCTAACATTGGAGAGAGATCTGGTACAGCCGCCCTTAAAGCTCTCTAGGGGCGCATATTTTTACTGATTAGCACGATGCCTGGCACACAGTAAGCACTTGATAAATGCTTATTGATTGATTGAATATTGAAAGTTGATAGAAAGTGCCATCCCTTCCCTCCATCTTCTCCTGCTTTCCCTCCTTGAAACCAGTCAATCTACATGGCACCAATTATGTACCATGCACTATACTAAACACTGAATATACACCTACTACAGGAAGCCTTCCTTAATCCCTATTAATTCCAGTGTTTTCCCTCTTTTAATTATTTCCTATTTATCCTATATTTATCTTGCTTTACATACACTTTTGTGTGATGTCTCCTCCATTAGATTGTTAAGTTCCTTGAGGGCAGGGACTGTCTTTTGCCTCTTTTTGTATCTCTAGCACTTAGCACAGTGACTGGCACATAGTAAGCATTTAATAAATGTTTATTGAATGAATGGAGAAAGAATGAATTAATGCCTACTTTGATACCCTCATATCCAGAGTTAGTTTAATGTTTTGAAAGGCCAATGGGTACTTGGCCTTTCTGCTTGCTTCAAGTAGAATATTTCCTCCCTGGGATAGGATGTGTATTTCCTCTCCACAGTGACCACTATTTCTTAACCTTACCTTGAAGTCATGCCACTTGGTGATGCAACCACCACTGGGCCACCACCCCAGGTTCCTGTCTCCTTTCCTTCCTCCTGACTCCTCACAGAGATGAGGGGAATGGGCTGCAATTTCATCTGAGGTTAGATGGTCCTGTGGGCTGCTACCAATACACCACCACTCCCTCCAACTCAGTTTTCCCCAGAAGCAATGGTTCTTGATTATAGCTTGACTTTATTTGGCAAAATCAATGGAAGCTGGGAATACAGTATTTACCAAGGATACTAGGCTGCCAGGAATTTGTTATTTTGGTCTAGCACTATAATAGGGCAATGTTCAAAGCAAGAAAGTTTCATTGTGCCACTCAGGGCAGTTGTGTAGTAGACCCATGCTTAGCAACTGTTGAAAGTCAAGGGTTTCAGACAGAGGAACTATAGAATAGGGTCAGATGCTTACTTCTACATATCATAATCCAATCCCTTGCTGAGTTTAAGAACAAGAACTGATGCAATCAGAATGAAATTCATAATTGAACTTTATGTACTAAAGAATTAGACAGTTCACACACTTGGTTTCCATTGTGAAGAAGGTTGTCCTTGCACCGAAGCTTTCTTTCCAAGTCTTGAATCAGAGCTTCTTTGGATCCTTGTATTTCATGATCAGGAGTTTTTGGTATCAGTTTAGGATGTGCACCTTGGGCTGGCTTAACATTTACAGGTGGGTTGACTGATGGCTGCTGGTAACTGACAAAGAAAAGGAAAGAGAGGAAAAAAAGGAGGTCTTCGAGGTATACTGTGGTTCAGTGTCTTCGACCAGCTGGAATTAATTTAATTTTATAAAATTCTCTATGATGTAATGAGATAAGTTTACGAGTTTATGACCACAAACCTACCTCCTCCTCCTAATTCTTCAATATTTCAAAAGGTCTTTTAAACATGAAGATCACAACTCCTCTACAACCTAGGGTTTTATGAGTTACTATAGTAAACAAAAAAATAATCATTTGATGGCTTTCTTTCTGGATATAACTTCTCCAAACTTAGCTAGACTGGCCTTTAGATAACTTGAACTCAGAAAAACCTAGGTTTAAATCTCACCACTGATATTTACTAGCTCCATGACTGGGCATGGTACTTAAACATGCTGAACTTCAGTTTTCTTCTCTGTAAAATGGTGTTAATATAGCCTTTAGTACCTACCTTACAGAGTCGTGGGGACCACAGCAGTGATAATATATAAAAATGATTTACAAACTCTAAAGCATTATAGAAAAATCAGTGATGATGATAATGATGACAGCCACAGAGTGTGTGTCTGGGTCCATTCTCAAAACCTTTATAGCTTGATAGGACCTGTCAGTGCTTCCCACGCCATGATGAGAGATTAAAGGGGGACTTTGGTGGTGGAGGATGACTGCTGCTGCACCTAATGCTACTGTTGCTACTTCTGATCCAGATCTGTGATTTCATTGGTGTAAGGAACATTGGTGTAAGGAACAGTTAATCAGGGATCAATGCTGATCAGCCATTGTTCTGCAACACCTCAAGTCTTAGGGCCACCCGGGGGGCCCTGAGAAATTAAGTGATTTACCCAGCCTCACACAGCCAGTATATGGCAGAGGCAAGATTTGATCCCAGACCTTCCTGACTCTGAGACTGGCTTTCTATCCACTATGCCTTACTGCCTTTTTACTACTTACTACTATCACTAAAAAATATTGGCTATCAGAGGAGGAGTTGTGAAGGGTTTTAAGTGAAGTATGGTTAGGCAGCTAGTGGGTACTGTGGATAGAGTACTGGACCTGGAATCAAGAAGAACTGACTTCAGATTTGGCCTCAGACACTTACTAGTTGTGTGACCCTGGGCAAGTCATTTAACCCCTGCCTGCTTCAGTTTCCTAATTTGTAAAATGAGGATAATAATAGCACCAACCTCTCAGGATTATTGTGAGGATCAAAGGAGATATTTGTAAAGGGCTTTGCAAACTTTAAAGCACTACATAAATGTTAGTTATTATTAATCAGTTAAAATCAATTTTTTTTTCCTGAGACAAGGGTAAAAGGAAATGATTTAACTTGTAGGAAGAATTTGGTTGACATCAGGAAGCATTTTCTGTAAGAATTATGAGACTCAAAAGTGAACCCTGAGGGAGGTGACTATATTTTCTTTCTTGAAGATCTTGAAGATAATAACCTTTTGTCTGGAGTAATCCCAGTAATCCCAGTGCTCTTCTATCTAAAAGTGGTCTCTGGAAGTTCTCCTAGTCTTATCATTCTGAATTTCTGACAGTGTATGTGTAAGTGTCTGGATGTATCTGCAAGTGTGAGTACACACTACAGAGTAGTGGAAGTTAACTTAATTGTGTTATTGCTGCCTATCTATCAAAGGCTGACTGGTATGTGTACTTTAATATATATGGAATTCAATTTTTTTATTTTGGGGGCAGTAATGGGTGGAGGCAGAGGGAGATAGATCAGAGAACAAGAGCTAATCAATTTAGAGAATTGTTTAATGAAGAAATTGAGGAGAAGTGATGGAAGAGCACAGAAGCTCAAGGTTATTGTTTAAGAGGCATTAGCTGATCTTTGAAGGTAGTTTAGAGATTGTAAAATGTGGAAGCAAGGAGAGGGGAGAGGCTTTCAGGACATTTATGTTGAAAAAATTTGCTCTGGAGCCCTGGAATTTGAATTGATGTCCACAGTGGTCTTTAAAATTTGGTTTTGTAAAAAAACAAATACAAGTGCATTTATTTAGTGTTATAATTAGGGAACAGAGAATGGGATCTAAAATAGGTATAAGGCAGACTAAGAAACTATATATTGGTATGGATTTATGTTGCAATCATGCACAAATTTATTGTAATCAGAAATGGCAAAAATCAACAATGACAATATTTTAAATAGAAGGGAATATTCACAGTTATCCATTTCTCCTCTAATCTCTTTTTAGATTGAAGATTTTCTTTCTGAGACTAATGAGATTGTTTTGGGAAATGTATATCCTCATTTTAAGTCTGGTTCTAATAGGATAATGCTAAAGGTTCCCTTTGTTCTTCCCTTGCCCAAATGGTACAGCTATACAGTGGTAAGACAATATTTTCATATTCAAAGGATGAGAGATGGAAGGTGGAAGGGACCACAAGAGACTACATGGCCCAGCCTTCAGTCAGGTAAAATTGTATTAATTCCTACATATGTATTAATATTAATATATTAGTTATACACATATAGTACATATAATTATACATATATGTAATTAAAGTATGTATTAATATATATGTATATACGTGTGTATAGATATATACATATACATACACACACACACACACACACACACATATATATATATATATATATATATATATATATATATATATACCTACATACACACATATGCATATACGAAACTGCCAAGAAGCATCTATTTTCTTTTCAAATTTAATTGACCACATGAAGTCAGGTGTTAGTTTGACCACTTGACGTTTTGCTTCGTTTGCCTGTTGGCTTTGATTCTGTGGTAGATTTCAAAGTGAGTGGCTGATTTGGACCAAAGTTAGTATGCTGATGTTATTATGGTTCTACATCTTCAGTTTGATTGATGGCTGACTTTGCCATCTTGCAACAAAATCTTATTTTCTCTTATGGTTTTATAAGCTTTGTTCAGTGGTTGTGTGTCACAAGGATATGCAGTTGCATTCTACTGTGTCTACAACTTATATTTTCATATTCCTGTCATATTGTTTCTCTAGACAATTCTAAGGATGGTATAAAAGCCCTTTAAATGTCAATCTAAAGTAGGAAATGCTTCTGCAAACCTGCAACCATAATGCCAACTACCAAAATAATTATAGGCCATCACAAAGGAGAATAGAGAAAGAGGAGGGAATAGGATTGAGGTAAAGAGAGTAGAAGAGAATAAAAGGTAAATATAGAGGTCAATATGATAACAGAAAGCTTGGTCCAGTTCTTTTCATATAACGCTCAGAGGCAGTATGATGCAATGGAAAGAAGACTGGATGTAAAATCAGAGGACCTGGGTTCAAATCCTACCTCTTTTACTTCCTTGCTATATTATTTTGGGAAAGTTACTTAATCACCAGACCTTAGTTCTCTGACCTGTAAAAGATTAGATTAGATGGCCTTGAAGGCCTCTTCCAACTTTAAATCTATGATATATTGATCTTCATGCACAAATTTGGATGAAATCTCTCAGGGTATCACTGATGATTCTGAAAGGGGAGGCAGATACCTGAATGAATGACTGAATATTTAGTTGCATATTGTATGTAGAATATTATATTGTACAATTTACGTAGACATTTTTATAGTATATATTGATATGTTGGATTAAAAATAGGATGATTTCTAACTTTGGATTCATTGACATGTTCTAAAATACTTAATGAGTACCTGGTATGTGTATGGATAGCCCTCTGCTAGGCACTATACAAAGAAGTACAACACACAGTCCTTACCTTATATATTTAAACCTTCAGTTTATATCCACGTTACCCATGAATGAAAGATAATTCGATCAAGCCACTTTAAAAAACTGAATTGACGGCATGTAGATCAATGATTCTAGGCATTTTGGAACACCTCACCCTCATTCTAAGTTTTTTAATCTTGTTATGAGAATATTTGGAGAATTTTACAACATCCATGTGATAACTGGACGTTCAGGATTATATGATCTCAGAATTTGAAGGAACCTCACAAATTACAGGTTTAACTCCTATTGGGACAGGAATTATATCTACAACATCCCTGAAAAGTGGTTGGTCCTATGGATTTATCAAAACTAGAGTTAGGAATCACGCATATATACAAAGCCCCAGGCAATTAGGTGGCACAAGAGATAGAGCCCAGAACTCAAGAGTCAGGAAGACGAGTTTGAATTTTGCCTCAGACAAATACTAGCTGGGCAAGTCACCATTTCCCTCAGCTTTTTTCCTCATCTGCAAAATGTGGATAGTAACGGCACCTATATCACGGGTCTGTTATGGGGATCAAATGAGTTAACATACATAGAGCACTTTGTGACCCTTAAAGTACTATATAAAGGCTAACCATTATTGTCATTGGTGAAGGAAATGGCAAACCATTCCAGTGCCTTTGTCAAGAAAATCCCATGGACACATAGAGTCGGACCCAACTGATTAACTGAACAATAAAAACAGCATTATCAAATTCTCTTCATGTTTTCATTATTAGCACTATGGATAATTTTATATATTTTCATGGTGCAATGGAGAAAGTACTAAATTTGGAGTCAGAGTACCCTAGTTCACATCCTGTCTCACTGGTGTGACCTTGGGCAAGTCACTTAACCTCTTTGGGTCTCAGTTTCCTCATCTGTAAAACAAGAGAGGTTCAACTATTCTTTGGATAATGGATTGAGAGCTAGAAGGGATTTCAGAGGCCATCTAGTTCGACTGAGGACACTGAGGCTCAAGGCTTATCCACAGTCACAGAGGTAGTCATTTTCAAAGGAAGGATTTGAATCCTGGTCTTCTGACTCCACAGCCAGTGCTCTTTCCAGTGTATGACCTCTAATGTCCTTATATCAATGGGAATAGAGTGAAGTCCTTCTGTTTGATGACTTGCTCCTGACATTGTCATAGGACGCCAATTAAATTTTTTGGCTTTCTAGGTTTCAGTTTAAACTCATTCTAAATGTTTTCTTTTATAAGCTGGTTCTTAATATCAGTTACCTGAGTTGCCAGAACCAATTGCCATTTTTTCTGGAAAAATTGCATATAGGAGGAAAATTGGCCTCTGGAAAGATTGTGGGAAAAGAGAGAGGAATTTTGAGGAATCTGCCGCTGTCTATAAACAACAAACTAATCTCTCCGAGGTCAACGATAACTTCCTTATTACTAAAAGCAAAGGCATTTTTTTTTGTTCTTGTCATCATATTCTATGACCTCTTTGGGTATATGACACTATAGATTATCCTCTTCTTGGGCTTCTGTGACATGGCACTCTCACAGCTCTCATCCTCCTTCTTTGATTTTATCTTTTCTGTCTCCTTGGCTAGACTCTCATTTTATTCCCACCCCTTAAATTCAGCAGGTCCTCAAGATTCTGTCTCTTTTTTCTCCTGTTTTTCTACTCTCTCTCTTAAAGACCTCATCCAGTAATGTTATTTCAGTTATCACTTTTATGCAGATTAATTCCCAAATTATATCTCCCACCCCAACCTTTCCATTTCTGTATTTCTGTCTGCTTGCTAGATGTATCCACCTGGATGCCCCGTGGGCATCTCAAATTCACCATATTCAAAACTAAGCTACTCCTCTTTCCTTCAAAACCTTCTTCCCCTCCTAACTTCTCGATTTCTGTTGATGGGTTTCACCATCTTTCTAACCAACCCGAGTTTGTAACTTTGGGGTAGAGAGGCAAATATTCCATCACATATTCCATCTAATATTTCTGCGTATTTGGCCAGACTGCCCCTCAAGCCTGGACTGCACTCTCTCCTTACCTCCACCTTTCAAAATCTTTTGCTTCCTCCAAAGCTGAACTTTGGTACCACCTTCTACATGAAGCCTTCCCTCATTCCCACTCTAAGCCCCCAGCTGCTAGTGTCCTCCCTTCCCTAATTACTTGGTATTTATTTTTCATATACTTATATACCTGTTGCATCAACTAACAGAATGAAAGCTCCTTGAGGACAGAGATTATTTTATTTTTGTCCTCATATCCCCAGCACCTATCTAGCATGGTGCCTGGTATCTAGTTGATGCTTACTAAATGCTTGTTCATTGATTCTTCCCTCTTTCTCACCTCCCACATCCAATTAGTTGTCAAATCCTATTGATTCTAACTTTTCAATGCCTCTCAACTCCATCTCCCCTTTTCTACTCCCATTGCAGTCTCCCTAGTTGAGGCCTTCATTACCTCTTACTTTAGCTATTGGGGTAGCTTCCTAATTAGTAATATTGTCCAAACCAATCCTCTCAATCTATCTTCTTGATCAACCCCTGAGTAAGCTACCTAAAATGTACCACTAGATTCAATCACTCCTTTAGTTAAAACACATTTGTGGCTCTGCATTGCCTGCGGAATCCAGGATAAATCCTTGATCCTGACATTCAAGGTCTCTTAAAGTCTGGCTCTAACCTCCATTTCATTTCTTCATAAATTTATCCCTTCACACACTAGAGAGCCCATCTAAACTAGGCTCCTTGCTGTTCTCTGTTCTTATTCTGCCCTTCTTGCCTCTCTACCTTTGCACTCACTATACCTTATTCCTGGAATAGGTTTCCCCTCCTTACTCCATCTTTGTCTGTGGAAGACTCTTCTCTGGGCCTCCCTCGCTTCCTTATTTGTAAAATAAGGGGGTTAGATTTGATGGCCTATAAATCTGAATCTCCCTCTCTTCCTTCAAGGCATAACTCAGGATCCACCTATTCCAAGGAGCCATTCTCAATATCTCCTTTTAACCTCCCCCAAATGAAAGTTATTTTTCTTTAGCCCTTTTTTCTGCCTGGACCTCTGCTTTATGCTTATCATACTCTCCCTTATTTTATAACTCTATGTTTACATATCATTTTCCCATTTAGGTGTCTTGAGAGCTTTAAATACTCAGTGCTGCACATGGTATCTTGCCTATAGTAGGACCTTAATAAATGCTTTTTATATTGGACTAGATTGTACAAAGTGTCCACAAAAAAATTCTCAAGGCACCTCTGATCTCATCAAAGCACTGATGGGCTGGCCAAGGTTTAGGAAAGCTGATAGCCTTAAAGTCTGCATAAGCTCTAAGCATGAGAGTCATGTTTTAAAAAAAGGCACAAGTGCTATGTTCTTCTGTGTATCAGGTTCTCCCAGAATAGCTTTAGAGCCTGTGGAAATAGTGCATATAGTACAGATCAGAGGGGAATCTTTACTGAATTTAGACCAGGCCAGTCAAGTTGGAGGAAGTGAGGCTTAAATTACTGACAAGAAGCTTTAATACCATAAACCAAATCACTATACAATCCTTCCTCCATATGATGGTAGGTAAACTCATTTACACCATCAGAATCCCAGATTTTTTTAAAGTTACATTTTGGGCTTCGGAGGAAAAGACATTGAGTAGGAAAAAAAGATTGGGAGAAGATTTAATAGCTTTTAAATGTGGTTGAGGAAATCCTATCTGGAGGATGAAGAACAGCTGTTCTTTATGTGCACTGAGCCCATAAGAAGAGGAAATAAACTTAAATTACAGGGGCCTTAGGTTAGACATAAAGGAAGGCTACCTGACTGTGGGTGTCACAGGAATCCTTTCCCCAGAAGATGAATAATAACAAGACAAATTACTGTTTGGAGGAAGGAGAATGAACCTCTTGAAGTTCCTGCCAACATTTTGGTCCTATGTACTCTAGAATAGTTCTCAGGGATCTTAACATCCTGTTGTATATCTGTGCATTGCAGAATTTCTGTGCCTCAGAGCCAATTCAGACAAGCAATTGTGGCTTTATTATCTTTTTAAAGGATACTTACTTGGATTCCACAGCTGTAGGGGTTTTATTGCTGCTGTAATCAGGTTGTGATGGCAATACAGAACTGAGGAAGCTTGCAGGGGACTGGTTATATGTGGATGTCACCCTTTGTCCTGGGGAAGAGCCAGGAAGCTGCTGGCCAGAAGCCGGGAAAGCCGATGAGGATACTGTGATCTGAGAGCTCACTGTAGAAGAAGCAGAATATCTTTGCTCTGAGCATTGCCGGGGGTGGATGAGGATGGAAGATTGTTTGGTTTGGCTGCTGAAGGTTGAAGTCTCTGGCCCTGGAGGCTGTAGCCTGGAGCTGCATGTGTTCTGTGATTGGATAAAATGTTTTGGACGCTCATAGTTAAACATGGTGGGCTGGTATAAGGAGGGATTGGAAGGTGAGATTTTGCAGTTACTATTTGATCCTGGTAGTGAGGTTCCTGGAGTCAGGGGTGGTGAGCCTGAAAGAGGTGGTGTCTGGAAGGAGTCAGAACAGGGCTTGCTTTGCCTCTCCTTGATGAGTTCCGGGGAGGAGATTGACGTTGGCCTTGATGGTTCAGCTCTCTCTTGAAAAATACTGTCCCTTCAAAATGAGAAAGGAGAGATGAGGATTAAAGACAGCTAAAATTTTTATTTAAAAGGTTTTGTAAGATTTTTTTTCTTTTAATTTTCATTCCTGCCTCTTCCCCTTACCCAGCTTCCCATGACTTTTCTAAAGGAAAATATCAAATAGCTTTTTAACTTTATGTTAGGTTTTGTTTTTCAAAAAAGCATGACTAGGTAGACATTTTAAAATTCAACAAAGTCAAATCAAAAAGCAATGGATTAGAAGTCAGAAGATGACCAAGTTTTACTTCTAGCTTCATCACAAAGTTACTGTATGACCTTGGGGAAGTTATTCCTCCTCTGCAGGCCTCTGTTCCTTCCTCTGTAAAATGAGGAATTGTTACTAGATGATCTATCTTCAAGGTTTCTTTTATCTCCCATCCCCTGTGACCTAAATTTGTTCAAGAAGTTAGTTTTAGGAGATTGTCATTAATTTATAATCTCATCCTCAGCTTGTTGCCCATTTGGGTCATTTAATTAGTTAGCCATAAAGGTTTAATGGTTAAAAAATTAGTAATAATGATGATAACAGTATTTTATATAGCCTTTTAAGTTTTGTAAAGCCTTTAATCCTCATAGCAACCCTGGGAAATAGGTGCTATTATTATCCCCATTTTACAGATGAGGAAACCAAGGAAAATAGCTGTGAAGTAACTTACCCAGGGTCACACAGCTTGTGAGTATCTGCTACTGGATTTGAACTCAGGTCTTCCTGAGTCCAGGGCTAGCAGTGCTCTTTCTCTGCTGAATCATTTGGTTATACCCTTTCACTTCTTTTTCAATTATGGTTATATTCTCTTTAGGTTTTTTTTCTCTCCATGATCACTAAAACCTGAAGTGGCAGATATTTTAATGCTCTAGCCATATTGAAGCGTTGACAATAAATCATTTCATGCATATATTGAGTAAAATTGGGGAAGCATAAAAAAAGACTTCCTTTTTTAGAAGGAACACAATTCTTATGTCCATCTTCATAACTTTTCCCCTCCCCCACCACACACACGTAGACACAATGCCATAGAACGGTGTGTACTGCTGCTATAATTTATGACTGTCATCAACTTTCAGATATTGGCACGTGGATTTTCCACTTTGTACAACTCACAGCCTGTTCCACCACCTGACTGGGAAACTGGCTGACAGCTTTGCCCAACTGGGTGGGTCCAGAGTGGGTAAATATGGGATTGCATATGTGAAAGTGTCCCAGTATGTGTCTTTTACTGCATCCCAGAAGAGAAACTAGACCTTAACATTTTTCCCCTGGTATTTTTGGATGATACATGTTACTGCTCCCTTCTATTACTCTGGATAGCTTAAGCTTGACAGAGGGTGATAATTACCTAGGTGAGGCTATCTCTACCAGCTGTCAAAATAGTTATTTTCAGTCAGGATGTTTTGTATTATATATATAGATCAAACATAATAATTACATTCACATAGTCCTCTAAGATTTATGAAGCACTTTTCTCACAGTAACTTTTGAGTTGTTATTAGTATTATTATTCCAGTTTTTCATATGGAGAAATTGAGTTTCAGAAAGGTTAAGTGATTTGTTAAGGTCATATACAACTAGCAAGCGATAGAACCAGAAATCAAACCAGATTTTAGAGATCAGGATACTGAGATTTAAAGAGGTTACAAGACTTATAGGAGCATAGCATTCAGACCTAGAATATGTTCATGGCCATACAGGTATTAAATGCTAGAGTCAGGACTTAAACTCAGGCCTCCTTCCTCCAAGTTCAGAGCTTTGGGGGAAATGTTTTATTTTTGGAAATAAATGTTTTACTGATTTTTTTTTTTACATTGCTGGCATGACTTCAGAGATTCCTCCCTCACCTTCCAGAAATAAAAGAAAAATAACCATGTCTGACAACATATGTCAGTGTCCAAGCCTATGGGTCCACCACCACTCCACCAAGAAGAAAGAGATAAGAGTTTTTTCTACTATAACTCACTCTCACTTCAGATGAGTGAACTTCTCACTTACTAAATGGAGTGAATGCCTTTTATCATGTAGACAAAGCTTGAAATGTATAAAAGTCACTTATTTGATGATCATGAGATGATAGGATTGTGGTAGCTTTTGCCTGATCAAAAAAAGTTCAGGACAGATTTAAGATATAACATATGGTTGGAGGCCAAGCCTTAAATTAACTGTTGTATGAAAAGATAAAGAAGCTACTTAGCAGCCAGGATAAAGACTATAATGGAAAGGAACCCTTGAAAAGTCATCTAAACCATAATTTCAAGTTCAAATTATATACCCTCTAGAGAGTACATTTTGGATAGGAACTGCATTAAGTCTTTAAATTATTGGGGGGGAGGCAGTAAAAGGGACTGAAAGGTGGAGAAAGATACATTAGCAGAAGTCTATAGAACACATAATTATGACTTCTCAAAAAGATTGCATTTAAAGCAAAATCTTTGTCTTTTTAAGCTGTGTTCATTCCATTGAAGGCTTTAAAGCAGAATTTGTTAGGTCTTAAATTCTCTTCTTGTGAGATCAAATTATTCAGCTGTCATTTCAAATAACAAAAGGATAAACTGTGTAAGGGTACAGCCAATAGATAGATTCTCGGAAGAGGTTTCTATTTTCCTTCACATTCACTTTTGGAATGCCACGCTGGCCCACACACTTTGGTGCTGGCACTTGTCTATGCAATTAGGAATATCTGATGTTTTTAAAAAGCTAATTTTAACACAGATATCTGAAAGTCTCATTTTGTCCAGCATCTTAGCAAGAGATTTCATATTTTGGAAACTTACTTTCAAAGTCCATTTTTCATACTTGATACTGTTAGTTAGCAACTCAACTGTGATTCTAAAATTGTGTGCATATGGCAGTAACTAACCTATCCCAAATGGTATTGTTACTGTCTTTCTTTCAAAATTTCTTAAAATTTATTTTTACACTGCTCAGTAAGTATAGTCCACTTCACGGTTATGGAAATCAAGCACTGTGATATTTTCATCCTAACAGATCTGCACAAAAAGTATCTAACTCCTTTATGTAGGACATGCTTTGAAGCAATAGAAATCCCTATAACTTACAGACATATATCAAATAGCCCTTTAAAAGGGGGAAATACTCCTTTTTAAATAACTAATAACAATCAATTGCTTTTTAAAACTAACAAAATACTTCAAGCCTCCCCTCTATTCCAGCCTTAAAAAGAGTCCTACTGGTTTCAAATAGGTTATGTCTCTTTCTTGTCCGATCTTCTTACTGTGGTACATAACACTTACAGATTCTTAAACTCATATCCATAAATATTCTTTGTAGAGAAGACCCCCGATTTGGAAGAAAGAGTGTTAAAAATAAAGGCAAGACTTACCTCTATCTCCAGATGGTGCTACCTGTGTTTAACCCACTATTGAGGGGCAGGAAGAGGCATTCTGGTCCCTTGCAGACTAATCATAGTGACCCTGTACTTAGTATTATAACACCAGTGACTTTTATCAGCTGCCAAACAGTGACATCTGATGTACTTGCCTGTCTATCTACCTATACTGGTGTGTCAAAGTAAGAGTCCACTTAAAACAGCCTGATGTAGTAGAAGGAGCCCTGGACTGCTAGGCAGAAGTGTTGGGTTCAAGCAGCATCTCTGTCTCTAGCTAAGTCACTTTTCATTTCCTCCGCCTCAGTTTCTTCAGCCATAGAAAAAAATGAGGGTAAGACTAGGTAATCTCTAAAGACCCTTCCATCTCTGACATTTTGTGATCCTCTGAAACAGTTTTCCAAATGCTTTAGTGACATTTAATGAATGAGGCTTTTACAAATCTATTTGTCTCCCCTAGTGCTTATGCACCTCTTTATTTTAAAATTAATTTTTGTACCAGGATTTAGTAAGGAGTGGGGAGGGGAAGAGCTGAGGATTAAAGAAAGGGGGGAAACAAAATTGTGATGGGGTAGATTTGGAGTTAGAGGACTCAGACTTGACTCCTAGCTATGCTTCTTATGATCAGTGTAATTTTAGGTAATTATTTTTACTGGGTCTCAGTTTCCTCTTCTGCAAAATGAGAGGATTAGATTAGGTTATTACTAAAGCCCCTTCCTTTATCCAAATCCAAATCCTATCATCCCCCCAAAATGAAACATTGACCACATGGTTGGGTGGGTAGTAAGGGAGAAAACTGTTTGGTGAATGGTTATAGGACAAAAGGGAACCTGGTTGGGTGTCCAAAGGCTGAATTTGATATACCAAAAGGAACTTCTCCTTAGGAATTTTTTTTAAACTCACCTATTATTTCATTGGCATAGGGAGCTCCCAGTGAGGAACTCCCCCTACTAATGACAGGGCAGCTTAGGCTTGTTCTGGAGGTTTTTGTGATTAAGTGACTAAGGAAGCTGACCAAAAGGAGAGAGGTGTGGTCTGCAGAGTGCGGTGACACATTGATCTCAGAGGCTGAGATTTGAGTTTGGATCTGTTTCTTTGCAAGGCTTTCCTATCTTCTCTGAGGACATTTGTTATTTAGGGAATATGAAATACCAGGACTTGGATTCAGATGAACAAAGGGCTCTTACAATCATCTAATGACAGAGGTTCTTAACAATGAAACTATGGTGATATGTATGTATGTATGTAATATAAAACACCCATGTGTATATGTGTACACATATACACACATACAAATGTGTCTATATGTATGTATATACATTATATATTTCAATAACTACATTTCAACATAATTGGTTTCCTTTGTAATCCTATGTATTTTGATTTATTCTTTTAAAAGCATTATTATGAGAAGAACTCTATAGGTGTCACTGATTACCAAAAGGGTCCATGATCAAAAAAACAAAACTCAAAACTGTAAACATTCAGAACTCCCTTATAATCCA